TCACTGTTGAATGGTATTGTGCTGGAGTTGGCTGCTCTCTTGCTGCAGACTTTGTGCAGTACCACATAGCGGTAATGCTGCAATTACGTCCTCTGGCAGCCGGAGGGCACTCTGACACATCTGCATAGCCTGTACCTGCTGCTTGAGACCCTCCATCTCTGACAACAGCAGCTGAGCAACAAATATTCAACATAAGTTTGATGGTATCAGTGATAAAAAAAGTACATGTCATTTTCTTTTCAGTACACATAAAAATATTATTATTTGTATAATTTTTTCATTACTAATCAGTATTTTCGTCTTGAAAAATATTGAAACATTCTTAAAGCAATATACATTCAGCAAAACTAAGAATAGACTTGTTTTCAAAAAACATATCTTGAATTAAGATTTAACATTTTTCTTATATCGTTTCCTTTTTTATGCATAACCCATAAACTAATGTTTTATTTGTTACATTTATGCTTTAAACAATAAAACAAACTTCACACAAAGAATATTTTCTTAATAATAAAGATCTTTAAATATTTTTACTGGAAAAAATTACTGAAAAAAAAAACCTAATAATTAAGACAATTCTTTTTTCAGTGTATAATTGTACAGAAGGTATGATTGCATTTGTATCTGATAGTATAAGATAAATGAGATAAATCGGAGGAATGAAGAAATGTGTTAGTACAAGTTATTAAGAGTGATGGGTGTACCTGTCTTTGAGCCAGCTGTTCTCTGAGACTGAGACGTGCCAGATCAGGGGAGGCCAGAGTCTCCTGGACTCTCTCTATGGACTGATGGAGGCTCTTCACATCACTCTCCAGTCTCCCCAAGTCCTAAACAGAGAAAGACAAACAGGAAGATCATTATGTTCATCCCAAAGTCAATTTGGTTTTACAGAGACAAATGTCTGTATATTTTATTAAATATTACATTGAGTATTTAGCAAGAATTACATGCTTTCATAGTGTGTAACTTCAAGCAGCATCAAACTCGATTGCAAAAATAAAAAACAAAATTCTTTAAAGGATTCAAAACACTCTTACAGGCTCCCATTCAACAGATAAATCCACTATTATCATTTTAACACTGAAAAATTCTACAATTGCAAAAAAAAAAAAAAAAAAAAAAAAAAAAAATATATATAGTCTGATGACATTACTACAATATATGCATGTATTTCTTGTAGTTTCTTTTAATTCTTATTCTGTTGTTCAACTACTGAACACCACAGACATTTGAAGCCAAGATCCACCATCTTGAGACCAGACCGAGCCGAAAACCGAAGGACGGTCTGGAGGATCTGGAGTATTACGTTCAGTGTAAGGTGCACCTGTCAGACGTGAGCACACTGGTCAGCTCTCTCAAGAGAAGCGCAGAGGACGTCAAAACCACTAAAGAGGTCAAATGTGAGTTTATTAAAGCAGAACGTTGCTCTGTTTTATCTTTTGCTTATCTGAATGTCAGTTACGCTTAGCTTTTCTACTTTTGTCTTTTTCCAGTTCATTGGTTTCCAAGAAAAATCGCTGAACTGGATAAATGCCATCATCTCATCAACAAATTTGATCCGGATCTGGATCAGGATCATCCAGTAAGTGTTGGATTGATTCTTCTCTTCTTCTAAAATAAATACACACTCATTTACCTGAAATTTGTAATGTCTTTCATATTTAACTCTTTCCCTGCCAGCGCTTTTAAAAAGATTGCTAGCAATTTTGATAATTTTGACGAAACGTTCATGGCTCCCAGAAAATTTTGTTGTACTGTATGAATATCTGAGAATGTATGAATATGTCAAAAGAAAGAACAGAGCCTGAGCAAATCATTTAATTCCAGCTTCATGCATTCTTATTTTATCAACACAAGGTAAGTTTCATAAAAAAGCAACATTTTGAACAAAAAGCTGAAACATCGCATTTTTGTAAAAGACTACGTCTGGATTGGATTCAGAATGATGATTAAAACATAGATGGAGTAGATCAAGTCCATAACCACCTTCAAAGCTGCAAGTCCTAAACCTTCCTGTGTCGACATTTCATTCGGTAACGTTAGGCAGTTTTGATTTATATGCTTTTTATTGTTTTGCCGTAGCAGTTGCAGCTTGATTCAGAAACCTTCCACCTTCCCCAGCTCCACCTGTATAGATCTGATACGAGGTGATTCATGTATGCTATATGGGGGTTATTTCATGTATGTTATATTTGCAGCAGCAATATTTCTTACATGCTCTCAGCAGCATGTTGTGGATGTATTGGCAGTAGCAAGTCTGGGTACTTGCTCTGCCGCAGCAGCAGCAGCATAGCAGATCTATTCCACCAAGACCAAATACATTAACATTGTCATGTACATTACCATGCCAATCCCTCAGAGAGTTGTCATGACAGAAATCTTATTAAACTGTGCTGGTTTAAGATGACTTAGGAAATTATATTTCTCCAAACACTTTTGAAGACATTTTTTAGAGAGCGATTTTCATCTTTCAAAATAAATGTAAAGACAGAGTCCGAAAGGGGAAGAGTCGCGTGACACAGTGATGAAGCTGGTATGTGTTTGCAGTACACAAGCCACAGTTAAGACACAGAAATATATATATATATATATATATATACAAGAGGAGGAGAAAGGATAATGATAAAGGAGCCTGTAAGAGTGGTGCTATACTAAACATGCTTGATATATCAGCATTAGGCAGTTTAACCACCTTGATTAACAGAAGTGCTAGCTCCCCCTTGTGCCGCTTCGACATAGCTATCGTGATTTTGGCTTTGGCTATTAAAAAAAAAACTTATTTCAGTCCACAGCACCACTAATTCAACAGTCAGACTGCAGGTTAAATCATGTGTGGAACCAGAACCTGAGGAGTTCACAACCCTGCTAAATCACCACAGGGCTCCTGAACAAGACACTAAAGCCCTTTAACTTCAGAGTGATTTACTTCAGAGGACGTCTGCTAAATGACAAGACTTAAGCCCACTGAATACAAGCAGCTCAAGTGGGCCTAAAACTATAAAAAGTGGTGCTTTAAACCAAATCAATGTAGTTCTCCAGCGAACAGTGAATAAAATACCCAGTACAGGCACAGGCACCATTTGGCAAAATTCCACAGTATGGTCCTAGTTTTGTAGCAGGTCAGGCAGCAAAGAAGGAGAACAAGGATGAAGAATCAGGAAAAAAAAAAAAACCTGACATGCACAACTATATAGGTAATTGGTTTCATGGGACAACAGTTATTTATATACTATACTATTACTATAGATTATACAAAAATATTTGACTGTAGAATTCCAGAGAAATACAATAAGTAAAATACATAAATCATCTTGCAAAAACTCTATACCATTACACACACACAAAAAACTGAAGAGTGAGTCGTATAATTACTCATTTAAACATTTGCTGAAACCTTTAACTTTTAAAATGAAAACTTATAAATCTGCTCTCTAATAAAAAAAATGGAAGCACATAATTAATCCAATTTCTTCATGGCACGATGCCATTATATAGTTATGGCATGCATTAAGCCAGACAATTTTTGAGGACTTATTCATGAGCTCAAATTTCATGCACATTACTGAATGCATGGTTTAAGATAAACCTATAAAACAATGTTAAGTTAAAGCAGTGTTGTGAACATACAGCAATCTAATGAACAGACATCAGTCATGTCTAGAAAAGAAGATACATACAAAATGAAGAATTACATGGCTAATCTAACTGGCCACTAGATGGCAATGTTTTTCTAAAGATACAGCAGACTTGAAGCTTGAACCAGACTGAGGCAGTGATAGTGCAGTTTTTTTTTTCTTTTAATTTGCTGAGATGATATAAGAATAAAATGGATTTGTAAAAATCATCATAAAGGTGTTTATAAGACTGAAAATGAGATGCTGACCCTTTACCCATAATTCTATTCAGCATGACACATCACAGAAAAATATTAACTAGAGCCAAAAAGAACATGGGAACATGCATAGCCTTTTTATCATTTTATCATTATATTACTTTTATGTAGTGTGACATGCTGCTATGTATTACCTTGGCTGCATCTTGTAGCATCAGGAGTCTTGTTTTGGCTCTCTGCTGCAGCTCTTCAACATGTCTGCTCAGTTCTGCCACCTGCTGGTGGAGAGCATCTGTCTGGACCACCTCCCCCAGCAGTCCCACCCTCTCCACCAGACCCTCAAACTCTCCTTGGAGATCTTGCCACTCTTGCAATAAGGCCTGATTGAGATATATCACAAAATAACATTACATTTCTACCCCAACAGGTACTGAAAATTCTGAAAAATTGTGGTCTGATCTGGCTAAAGTTAGTGTCTCCACCTGATGGGTTCTGATCTGCTCTTGCATCTGAGAGGCTGGACTCCACATGATGTTGGCTGACACCACAGTCTCTGCTTTTTCTGTCCAGTTGAGAGTTAACGTCAGCATTTCATTAAATTCTTCAAAGTTCTTTTCTGCCTAAAACAGAGAAAAAGACCAATTTGTTGAATGCATTTTATAAAAAAAAAATAAAAGATAAAATTTGAAATGTCAACAAACAGAACTGCAAAAATAATCATTGCTTTCAACCAGGTTTCTCCAAATGCTGACCTTCTGAAGGCTTGTGGTCCTTCCCTCCGCCAGTCGGAGGGTCTGAACATGAAGCTCAGTCAGTTTACTCAGGCTGGAGCCCAGCTGTTTGGCTAGGAGAGGATTTTGCTCACCAAACTCCTGCACCACCACATTTAGCTCAGACAGAGCACGACCACACTCCACTAGCTCTTCAAATAGACTCTGGATTAATAGAGAAAGAAAAATAGAAAAAAAAACGGCAGAGAAAAATATGTTTAAAGTTGTAAAAATGCAATGATGAAAGCGTTGTAAGAAATCAAATCTTTTTGGCAATTGAAATAAGCTGAAATAAAATGCAATTTAAATATTAGGTGAAACTTGCCTTGGAAAATAATTTAAATAAACAAGTTAAATATATATATTTAATTAAAAAAATAATTTCTAATTTTCTAAATAGAAATAGAATATAATTAAAAATAGAATTCTAAAAATAGAAATAGAATTAAAAACTAATTAAAAATATTAATAATATTAATAATATCAGAACACTAAAATAACACTGCCTTGTTATGAATTCCACTCATCGTGATATATTTAGAAATTAGGCTGCGCAGAAGTCATTCTGAAGCACACTTCTGTCATCATTGACACTTTGCACTTCAGTAATCAGGGCAGAGTCTGTACCACAGCTTCCAAAGACTGTGCTGCATTCATACCTCTGTCTCCTCTTTAGCCTCCTCAACATCCACAGCCTTCTGCTTGAGCTTCAAAGAGATGAGTTTGACTTTCTTTGAGATATCCTGAAGTCTGGAGTTAAAGTCTTCTTTAATATCTCTGCTATGTTGGACCTCTCTTTCCCGTGCCTGCACCTGAGCAAAGGAGAAATTAATAGGGAAGTTATAAAGAGACATTACATACATTTTCAGCAGTCAAAATCAATATCAGTTACTGGTTTTCTGTTTTTCTTTTAAACCAAATTAGGCTGGTCTGTTTGGCTGCATTTACATTGCAATGCCTACTGCCAGGGCCGTTTTAACCATTGGGCTAGGCGGGGCTGAAGCCCCGGGGCCCGAGCAAGGAGGGGGCCCGTGATTGGCTGTGGAGTAGATTGACTGGAGCGCCGATCGCCAAAGCCACCACTCCCCCCACTTATTAGCGCTGTTATTTAGTTGAGCTTTTCCGTAAATTCCATGCATTACCACTTGAGATTGAAACGTAAAGTCTGAATTTGGTTTACCAATCAAATGCATTTATTATATATTTGACTTTTGAAGGTTTGATTTGTATGGGTTTGAGCACTTTTACATGGCTACAACAGCACATTACACCAGCAGCCAGGCACCCCGCTTTACACACTGATGATGCTGACGTTTTCAGAAATATTATCTTTTCTGTTGTGTTTTGTTCTATTATAGTGATTTACTTTTGAGCTTAATAAAGCTTTTCCCTATTGAGCCTTATGATTTCGTGTGTCCCTCCTTTTGTTGCTTTTCTTCGAGCCAGGGGTTGTAACTATATATATATATATATATATATAGGGTATAACGGGGCTAAAGGCGCCCCGGGGTAAAAGGTGCCTTTGATATTATTTTCATCTAAACCACTAGAAGGCACAAAAACGTGGCATAGCACTTTCCAAAACATCCGTTTTTCAAGATGCAGGTGTATATTTGTCTGATCTTTGACGCGATCGCGCGCAGCAGTGCAGTGATGGGGGGCCCTGCAGTAAGTCATAGCCCAGTGCAGTCTTAATGCGGCCCTGCCTACTACACAGATCTTACATTTTGACACAAATCTAATTTTTACATATTTACATTAATCCCTCACGGTCTCACCATAATTCACTTGGTACCTGCATTCTTGACATTCCTAGTATGAATGAAGGTACCTGATCTTCTGCAGAACCCAGAGCCAGTGTAACCTCTGCCAGCTGGGTGCTGATCTCTGAAGGAAGGGTGGCATTGAGGTCCTGGTATTTCATCTGCTGACGATCTGCAATCTGCTCAAGGTTGTGGCGGTGAGACTGCATGCCTCCATGAGCCGTCTAGCAGAAACCACAAAGCAAAGTAAACTGGGTTGTAGGATGTTAGAATGCGAGTACTATCTGGATCTCCTCCACTGTATAAGGTTGTTTGCAGTACCTCCAGGTCAGTAAGCAGGTTATCCAGGTCTGCTGTGGGGCTCAGCAGCAGCCCCTGGGTGTCCTGAATCCAGCCTTTCAGCAGGCCCAACTCCCTCACCACTTCCTCTCTCTCCCGCAGCTCCACCTGCACCTGCTGCCTGCTAGCACACACCTGCTGCAACAGACTGAGGGAGAAAAGGGACACAAAAAATACATATTATGCAAATAATTGAAGATGTAAAAGCAAATGACAAAAATGAGAAAAGTAGGGTTGAAAATGTTTTTAAAAATTACTGGAAATGGTTTCATGACATTTGGTTTGGTTAACTTTTCTTCAACATCTGCATTTTTCTGAAAAAGTTGTCTCTATAAATTTTATAACTACAACATTTAGTGGATTTATTGCCTGCTCTTGAGCAGTAGGACAGACAGAATGCCAGACAGAACAGAACAGAACAGAACAGCGACAGACAGATGGACAGATATTCATACTTGTCATATTTCTCCTGAATGCTCTGAATTTCCAGCAGACATGGATTGTCATGGTTGTGTTTACTGTCTGTGGTGGATGCAGAGGCATGAGAATGGAGGAACAGGTTGAGCACATGGTGTCTGAGGAGGGTCAGGGCGCTGCTCTCTCTCTCCACCTCTCGACTGAAGGAATCGTGGTACTCCAGAAGGCTCTGTAGGGCTGCCATACTAGAGGCTTTTTCCACCATGTTGTCAGGAACACGACTGTGCAGGTCCTCACAGACAGCCCGCATTTTCTCCAGCTAATCACAGAGATGTGGAATGGGTTACTCCAACAGATTCTACTGCTGTTAATATGTGCTATAACATTGTCATGCTATAACATTTATTTTATTGTTAAAAAAAAACAATAAAAACAAATAAATAAAATGTTTTTGTTGTTCTTTTTATCTATATTTAAATGTTCGGTTGCCATGTCAGTGATGTTACAAGTTTTGAGCGTTCATTCAGATTCATGTCGAGTTTTAGATTCAATCAAAAGTGAGTCATTAAGAATTAATGCAGTGTAATTTACTCCTAATTTTTCCATTCACTGAATGAAGGTTTGGACATCAGTATCTGTGGTCACATAGCAGCTATCAGGACATCAAGGAACTCTTAATAATGAATTATTGATGAAACTGATGAAAAAAGCAAAACACTCCTCTCTCTGTGCTACATACAGCTTTGCAAGCAACTGACTCATTCTTACTAAGTGATGTCATATCCTCAGATGAACAATGAAACATGCTACTGATATGACTTTCTCTTCAATAATCTTTTGTATATTAAAGTATTCATGTTCTATAATCGTATATATATAAAGAAGTACATATAGTGTGTTACACAGCATATCCCTCCATCAATGATGTAATGTCCTGTGATCGCAGCAGAGATTTATGGGAGAAGTGGTGAGTTGGCAACTTCCATGTTGGGTTATTTTTGTATGGACTGTCATTGCCAAGCATTACATCATTCTCAGGCCATTGCCGGCAACTGATGCTCTTGTCTGAACACAGAACCACAGCCAAGATTTATTCAGCTCTACTACAGTGTCTCGCTGCTTACAGAATAACTGCTTTTACTGATTATGTTTTTTTTTTCGTCTGTTTGTTTATTTAAAATATACTATTCAGGCATCAATCAATCATTTTATGGCATTTTGCCTGCTTATTCAATCAAGTATTGTATCTGATTGCACTATTGCATTCATTTGATTACATTCTCTGAAATGCAGAATCATATAAAGAGTATCTTAGTGTAATGAGTTGAGAGTGTCTATCCATGAAGCTTCCCTACCTTCTCCCTGGTGCATCTCCAGTTACATGCAGAGTCCTGGAGGGCTTTCATCTGAGCTCGAGCAACACCGAACAACCGAGTCCACCGATGGCTCAGTGAACAAACTGACTGAGAAATAGTGTCTTTTATGGCAGGCTGAACAAACTGTGCTGCTTTAACTTTTAGTCCATTCAGTGCATCTTCAAGACCCTGAACTTGTGACATAATATTCTGTAGAAAAGAAGAAATAAGAAATATTTAGAAAAGCTGCAACACCCAATTTAAAGTCAATGTATAAGAAGTAGGCAACGAAACACATGCTTAGTCATAAACCTGGTATAAACAGTGCTTGTCTTCAGCATCTTGTACAGAGTTTGCTCTGGCAGTTGTGAACTCCGTCATCCTTTTCTCTACTTCATTCATCTGCCTGATAACTTCATCTGTTTCATCTTGGAAGGATCTCCACTGAGTTATGCTTCTAACAAAGAAATAAAGTGACGAATAAAGTGTGCAACAGGCAGATACAAGTTTGGGTCTTGTGCGCCTTATTTAAATATATTTAAATATCCAAATAATCTCATTAGCATTACCGTTGCAAGTTGTCTTGATGTTGTTTTAGCTGCTCAAAGACCTCTGTGCCCTTATGATAAGACTCCTCACAATGTTGCTGGATTTGCTTCATTACAGTAGGGCTCAAAAAGTCACCCATTTGAGGAACTAGGTCTTGCATTTTTTGCATCGTACCCTTGACAGATTGTTTCCGGCCTGTTATATTTTCGAAGTCCTTGAGGCAGTCTGAAATTTTCTCCAGGTCTACCTCTTGTGGGGCCTGCTTAAGTAGAGCACCAGTGTCCTCAAACCACTGCTGGACAGTTTGCAAGGAATGGTGGTATCCTTGGAGCAGAGACAGAATAGACTGCAAGGCCACCTGAGGATGCACATCACAATTTAAAGAAACATTAAGCTAGCCTTCAGTATTTTATTACTCAGTCAGAAAACATAGGCGGACTTTCAGGAATTAATAATACCTTACCTGTTTGGTGTTGACAGCTTGTTGAAGATCACCCTTTAGTTTTGGAATTTCCATTAAAGTGGTTTCAAAGATTTTTGGAAATGGCTTTTGATCGTTGATGTACTTCTGTTTCTCTTCATTAGTTACATATTCTAATACTCTAAACCTAGATTTCATTTCTTCTTGAAGTGCTGACAGTGACCTGACCTCCTCCTGCACAAGGAGGAGCACAATCTCAATTTTTGCTTCTTCAAACATTAATGGACATCTTAATCGATCCCAAAGACTCTTGAGCCAGTCTATTGATACTTTAATATCAGTTTGAAAATCCTTATTTCCCATAAAACCTCTCTCACATTCTTCTGTGTGTGTATTAATCTCTTGCTTTAAAGTAAGAAGTTGTTCCTCCCTGAAGATAACCTGAGTCTTAAGGGTCTTTGAGTCAAAGTGCCGGCTGAGGTCATCATTTTGTGCTTTGAGACCCTCTGGATAGGAACTAACCTCTTCAAGAAATCTTGATAGGTTGTGTAGTGTAGATAATCTCTCAATGGCATCTGTCTCCTCATCTCCTTTGGAGTCTAGTTTGCCAAGCTGTCCCTTTAATCTAGTAATGCTATAGTCCATTTTCTCAATAACTGTTTGATGGTCATTTAATAATTTTAATGTTTTCCTTAATTCTTTCATCTTACACTCGATCTGCTGGTTAAGACTGTCGTGGAGATAAACTAGCTGGTCAATGACTTCAGGAGCATATGGCTGACCCATGACAAGATAATCCTGAGTTTTACCCCTAAGATCTTTCATTCCCTGAAAGAGATTTGCAAGACCTTTCATGAGATCTTCATAACTGCTGTGCAATCTTTCTCCCTCTTCTACACTTTGGTTGGCTGGCTTCATCTCTAAACCATCACACTTCTCCTGAAGTTCCTTCAAATCTTTTCGTGTGGCATCGATGAGGGACTCAAACTCCTTGCGCTCCAAAAGCACTTGCTGGATCCTGTTGCGTTTCTCTCTGATCAACAACAGCATGTCATTATATTGTTGTGGAAGGCCATTAAGTTTCTCATCTAGGTAGCAGTGGTCGACCTCATTTAAGGTGGGAAGAATCTCCTGTCCTGCCCTTTGGACGATGAGCAAAAGGTTTTCATACTCTGAAGCATGATCAAGAAGCTGTTGGTATTCAGTCAGCTGGTTCTGAAGCTCCTCATCATTCCCGCTCAAGTCAATAATTGGAAATGTAGCTACCTCTGCTTGTTTTAGCCACTCGCAGATCCTGTCAAGGTCCACTTTAAAGTACTTTCGAATGACTAGCGCTTTCTCCAGATGCTGCAGATGCTCCGTGCTCTTCTGCAAGGAAGCCTCGAAGGTAACTTGCAACTCCTCCAGCTTCTGAAGGGTCTCCTTCTTCTCCTCGTCAGTTGCATCCTTCACTAATCCTCGTCCCTGTACCCAAAGAGATGTAAGCTCCAACCCAGAGCCAGTGTAACCTCTGCCAGCTGGGTGCTGATCTCTGAAGGAAGGGTGGCATTGAGGTCCTGGTATTTCATCTGCTGACGATCTGCAATCTGCTCAAGGTTGTGGCGGTGAGACTGCATGCCTCCATGAGCCGTCTAGCAGAAACCACAAAGCAAAGTAAACTGGGTTGTAGGATGTTAGAATGCGAGTACTATCTGGATCTCCTCCACTGTATAAGGTTGTTTGCAGTACCTCCAGGTCAGTAAGCAGGTTATCCAGGTCTGCTGTGGGGCTCAGCAGCAGCCCCTGGGTGTCCTGAATCCAGCCTTTCAGCAGGCCCAACTCCCTCACCACTTCATCTCTCTCCCGCAGCTCCACCTGCACCTGCTGTCTGCTAGCACACACCTGCTGCAACAGACTGAGGGAGAAAAGGGACACAAAAAATACATATTATGCAAATAATTGAAGATGTAAAAGCAAATGACAAAAATGAGAAAAGTAGGGTTGAAAATGTTTTTAAAAATTACTGGAAATGGTTTCATGACATTTGGTTTGGTTAACTTTTCTTCAACATCTGCATTTTTCTGAAAAAGTTGTCTCTATAAATTTTATAACTACAACATTTAGTGGATTTATTGCCTGCTCTTGAGCAGTAGGACAGACAGAATGCCAGACAGAACAGAACAGAACAGAACAGCGACAGACAGATGGACAGATATTCATACTTGTCATATTTCTCCTGAATGCTCTGAATTTCCAGCAGACATGGATTGTCATGGTTGTGTTTACTGTCTGTGGTGGATGCAGAGGCATGAGAATGGAGGAACAGGTTGAGCACATGGTGTCTGAGGAGGGTCAGGGCGCTGCTCTCTCTCTCCACCTCTCGACTGAAGGAATCGTGGTACTCCAGAAGGCTCTGTAGGGCTGCCATACTAGAGGCTTTTTCCACCATGTTGTCAGGAACACGACTGTGCAGGTCCTCACAGACAGCCCGCATTTTCTCCAGCTAATCACAGAGATGTGGAATGGGTTACTCCAACAGATTCTACTGCTGTTAATATGTGCTATAACATTGTCATGCTATAACATTTATTTTATTGTTAAAAAAAAAACAATAAAAACAAATAAATAAAATGTTTTTGTTGTTCTTTTTATCTATATTTAAATGTTCGGTTGCCATGTCAGTGATGTTACAAGTTTTGAGCGTTCATTCAGATTCATGTCGAGTTTTAGATTCAATCAAAAGTGAGTCATTAAGAATTAATGCAGTGTAATTTACTCCTAATTTTTCCATTCACTGAATGAAGGTTTGGACATCAGTATCTGTGGTCACATAGCAGCTATCAGGACATCAAGGAACTCTTAATAATGAATTATTGATGAAACTGATGAAAAAAGCAAAACACTCCTCTCTCTGTGCTACATACAGCTTTGCAAGCAACTGACTCATTCTTACTAAGTGATGTCATATCCTCAGATGAACAATGAAACATGCTACTGATATGACTTTCTCTTCAATAATCTTTTGTATATTAAAGTATTCATGTTCTATAATCGTATATATATAAAGAAGTACATATAGTGTGTTACACAGCATATCCCTCCATCAATGATGTAATGTCCTGTGATCGCAGCAGAGATTTATGGGAGAAGTGGTGAGTTGGCAACTTCCATGTTGGGTTATTTTTGTATGGACTGTCATTGCCAAGCATTACATCATTCTCAGGCCATTGCCGGCAACTGATGCTCTTGTCTGAACACAGAACCACAGCCAAGATTTATTCAGCTCTACTCCAGGTTCTCACTGCTTACAGAATAACTGCTTTTATTGTTTTTCAAAAAAAAATTTTTTGGTCTGTTTATTCACAAAAAAAAATGCTATTCGGGCATCTAACAATAATTTTATGGCATTTTATCTGCTTATCAATAAAGTATTGATTTGAACTATTGTATTTGTTTAATTACATTCTCTGAAACGGAGAACAATATAAGAGTATCTTAGTGAAATGAGTTGAGAATATCTGTCGTTGGTAAGTTTACCTACCTTCTCCCTGGTGCATCTCCAGTTACGTGCAGAGTCCTGGAGGGCTTTCACCTGAGCTCGAGCAACGCTGAGCAACCGAGTCCACTGATGGCTCAGTGAACAGACTGACCGAGAAGTAGCATCTTTTATGGCAGGCTGATCAAACTGTGCTGCTTTTTCTTTCAGGCCATTCAGTGCATCTTCAAGACCCTGAACTTGTGACTCAATATTCTGTAGAAAAAATGGAACAAATAGGAAATATTTAGAAAAGCTGCAATATATCAATGTATTAGGAATTCGAAGGAACTAAATGCTTAGTCATAGACCTGGTATAAACAAAGTTTGTCTTCAGCTTCTTGTTCAGAGTTTGCTCTGGCAGTTGTGAACTCCATCATCCTTTTCTCAGCTTCATTCATCTGTCTGATAACTTCATCTGTTTCATCTTGAAAGGATCTCCACTGAATTATGCTTCTAACAGAGAAATAAAGCAAGTGTGTGCAACAGTTGTAAAGAGAATATAGATATCAATGTCTGTAAATCATATTGTTAACATGAATAAGGAAGATACAAGTTTGGGTCTTGTGCACCTTATTTAAATCTATTTAAATGTCAAAACCTCATTAGCATTACCGTTGCAAGTTGTCTTGACGTTGTTTTAGCTGCTCAAAGACTTCTGTTCTCTTGCGATAAGAATCCTCACAATGTTGCTGGATTTGCATCATTACAGTAGGGCTGAAAAAGTCACCCATTTGAGGTACTAGACCTTGCATTTCTTGCATCGTACACTTGACAGTTTGTTCCTGGCTTGTTATATTTTTTAAGTCCTTGAGGCAGTCTGAAATTTTCTCCAGGTCTACCTCTTGTGGAGCATGCTCAAGTAGAGCACCAGCGTCTTCAAACCACTGCTGGACGGATTGCAAAGAATGGTGGTATCTCTGGAGCAGAGACAGAATAGCCTGCAAGGCCACCTGAGGATGCACATTACAGTTTAAAGAAACATTAATCCCAATTTCAGTATTTCATTATTCAGTCAGAAAACATAGGCAGACTCTCAGGACTTAATAATATCTTACCTGTTTGGTGTTGACAGCTTGTTGAAGATCATGCTTCAGCTTTGGAATATCCATTAAAGTGGTTTCAAAAAGTTTTGGAAATGGCTTTTGGTCGTTTATGTACTTCTGTTTTTCTTCATTAGTCATATATTCTAATAATCTAAACCTAGATTTCATTTGTTTTTGAAGTGCTGACAGTGACCTGACCTCCTCCTGCACAATTTCAATTTTTGCTTCTTCAAACATTAATGGATATCTTAATCGATCCCTAAGACTCTTGAGCCAGTCTATTGATACTTTAATATCAGTTTGAAAATCCTTATTTCCCCTACAACCTCTCTCACATTCTTCTATGTGTGCATTAATCTTTCGCTTTAAAGTAAGAAGTTGTTCCTCCCTGAAGATAACCTGAGTCTTAAGGGTCTTTAAGTCAAAGTGCTGGTTGAGGTCATCATTTTGTGCTTTGAGACCCTCTGGATAGGAACTAACCTCTTCAAAACATTTTGATAGGTTGTGTAGAGTAGATAATCTCTCCATGGCATCTGCCTCATCTCCTTTGGAATCAAATTTGCCAAGCTGTTTCTTGAATCTAGTAATGCTATAGTCCATTTTCTCAATAACTGCTCGATGGTCATTTAATATTTTTAATGTTTTCCTTAATTCTTTCATCTTACACTCGATCTGCTGGTTAAGACTGCTGTGGAGATGAACTAGCTGGTCAATGACTTCAGGAGCATATGGCTGACCCATGATAAGGAAATCCTGAGTTTTAACCCTAAGATTTTTCATTCCCTGAAAGAGATTTGCAAGAGCTTTCATGAGATCTTCATAACTGCTGTGCAATCTTTCTCCCTCTTCTACACTTTGGTTGGCTGGCTTCATCTCTAAACCATCACACTTCTCCTGAAGTTCCTTCAAATCTTTTCGTGTGGCATCGATGAGGGACTCAAACTCCTTGCGCTCCAAAAGCACTTGCTGGATCCTGTTGCGTTTCTCTCTGATCAACAACAGCATGTCATTATATTGTTGTGGAAGGCCATTAAGTTTCTCATCTAGGTAGCAGTGGTCGACCTCATTTAAGGTGGGAAGAATCTCCTGTCCTGCCCTTTGGACGATGAGCAAAAGGTTTTCATACTCTGAAGCATGATCAAGAAGCTGTTGGTATTCGGTTAACTGGTTCTGAAGCTCCTCATCATTCCCGCTCAGGTCAATAATTGGAAATGTAGCTACCTCTGCTTGTTTTAGCCACTTGCAGATCCTGTCAAGGTCCACTTTAAAGTACTTTCGAATGACTAGCGCTTTCTCCAGATGCTGCAGATGCTCCGTGCTCTTCTGCAAGGAAGCCTCGAAGGTAACTTGCAACTCCTCCAGCTTCTGAAGGGTCTCCTTCTTCTCCTCGTCGGTGGCATCCTTCACTAATTCTCGTCCTTGTACCCAAAGAGAAGTGAGCTCCACCTGATATGCTCTTAGGCTGCTGGTAAAATTCTTACAAGTTGACACCTGCTTGTGCAGTACATTTGGTAGGAGCGCGACATGATCATCTGCAAGAGCCCTCTGCTCTTGCTTCCTGATCCATTCAGCTGCTCTGTCGAGGGCTTGTAGGAACTGCGTTCGTTCTGTAAATACTTTGCTGAGGCTTTTACGATACTGAGCAGCCTTAGTTCCAAGCAATTCTACTTCTGCCTGTGTTTCCTGGACCAAAGTCTGCAGTTTCCTCCTTTCATTAAGACCTAGGCGAGAGGAAAGACTATTGGCATCTGTCAAGGCCTCTGCCAGAAGCTTCTGTTTGGCCTCCAATTCTGCACAAAAGCTCAAGTGATCAAACAGAAAGCTTTGGGCCAAATCTGGAGGGGGGCTGGTCTTGAGAACCTCAGACAGGGATGGCTGCTGCAACTCAGCCCACTCCTGAGCCTCCCGCAAATGGTCCTCGATTTGACTGAGCTCTTCCAGTGTTTGCGCTGAATCTTGTATTTTCTGCTGGACAAGCGATTCCACCTGGGTCCAACGTTGCTCCAGGTAACCCACCTGCTCCTTAACCAGGTCTCTGTCTTCTAAGCTCAGACGAGGCAGGATCCCATGCCTATTATTTCTCAGGTCATCGAGCACACATCTCTGGTCTTGCAGGTCTGTGGATAACTTCTTTAAGGCATCCAGACACTCAGCTGTGCTCTCAATATCTCCCCTAGAAAAGATTTAGTGCTTTTGTGAACAAAGAGAAGAATGACTGACAATAATGTCTGAAGAACAACATATGGCAACTATCAAACATAAATATGTTGTGCAAAATTTGAAAGGAAATGTTGCATGCCTGGCCAATTGACCCCATTTCTTGGACAGCTGGTCAAACAACTCCTCCACCATACAAATGCAGTCATGATAGTCCCCGCTCCTCTGTAGATCCTCCTCTTTCTGTTCCAGCAGCTGTGCAGCCTGTCTGCCCAGATCCAGCCAAGCACAGCGCAGCCGCCCAACTTCCATAAGCTCAGGGGACTCCTGACCAGCCGTTAGCCTATTGATGCTCTCTCTCAGCTGGGTCAGATCAACCTGCCTGGCTCGCATCTCCTGGATAAAGTCCTTTGTGGCATGAAATATGGGGTGTTATTAATAAATGCTGCCTGTCTTTATTTGATATCCTGCCAAATGGACAGCTCTGGATGACACCCTCTGTCACTGGCAGAGAGTGAGCTTTGAGGTAATTGGGGTTTTCATTCAATCTATTGTTGACAATTCTCAGCACATCCAGAGATGGTAATATGTGCTATTTTTCACACACAATGAAGGGGTCTGCCTGGATGCTGTTATTACAGGCACTGACAAATCAATTCACACATCCATAATTAAACCCAGACGAGTAATCTGGGGAGTATTCTTTATTAATGAATGAAGCTTCCTGCCAGGAAATGTAAGAGAGGGCAAAGCTCACCAGAGCTTTCAGCTATACATAATAGACTGCATTTGATTAACTGATATACTGTACAGATAATGTACAAAACTTGTGCATAAGGTATTAATGTAATATAAAATTTGCTGTAGTGTTTTTCAAAAATCTCATATAACCCATGGTTCATACAAATGGGTAATCATTTTAGCAGTCTTCAAATGGCTGTCATCTGGACACAAAGCTGTCGCTTACCTGAGCCTGGTCCAGCTGGTTCTGAGCAACCTTTGGCTCAAGCTCAGCTGGCCTCCTTAACATGCTCTGGAGGAGTTGTTCAGCCTCAAGAAGACGACACTCAAGGTTGGAACGCAAGTCTTTGATCTCTCTCCAGTTATCTGCTAGTTCTTGAGATTCCAGCATTCTCTCCTCGATCTGCATTGGGTGGAAAGCATCTCTAAATATTTTCCAACCAAATCTATGGGTTTTGTGATGAATTTTCATGTTTTAAAATCGAAAGACTGGGTATGGGACAAACTTAAATCAATAAAATCTACACAAACATCTCTTGAAAAGTAGCAAAAAAGACAAAAAAAGATGTATTTTCATATTTTAAAATTGAAAGACTGGGTATGGGACAAACTTAAATCAATAAAAAGCTACACAAACATCTTTTGAAAAGTAGCAAAAAAGACATTGTAAAAATATTTACAGGTTTTATGTGAGGAAAAAAAATTATGTTAAATAAAAACCAAACCCTGGTACTGAAATGAGATGGGAAGAAAAACGCAAAGTTTCTCTGGGGAATGCAAAAGCACTAAAACAATTTTTCCTCCTATCACCCTTTAGGAGCTCCATATAAAAGTGCCTGTAGTTGAAGAAGCGATTAAAACTTGAAGTTAGAACATTTTAATGTATTCTTAAGATTCTATTAATCACTCACCTGAAGTTTGACCTGCTGTATCTCAGCAGCTGTCTCTCGTACTTTATCATCAGAAAGATCACAGGTGGAGCACACCAGCTGCAAATAGGTACTAGCCTGTTCCTGCAGAGTTCGTTCCTGCTTCATCTGATGGGATATATGAGACCCCCCAGAAGAATTGATGAGTCTGACTTTCTTATACCAACTTCATTGTGCCACTTTTGTGTACATGCACAAAGCAACATAAAAAAGTATACCTGTGCTATCGCCTCCTGTAGGCAGTGTGGTGCATGTGCAGGAAGCTGTATCTCCTCCTGTACATTTGAAAGCCATGTCTGACACTGTTGCAACGTATCCCGCAGACTTACATGCTTCTGCAGTTCCCGATCCAGACTCTGATACACCTGCACAAACAGACAAATTTTTGCCTCAAGACTTAAAATAACCACACTGCATGAAGTGGCCAAAAGTAATTGGCTAAAATTGAAACCATACCACTTACAGAAGCCATAACTGAGCCAATTCAAAATGTAACATTTAAATTATGCACCTCAAAGGGTATTTTAAGTAATCCTTAACTGTATAAAACAGGAACAGCATGACCCTGACATATCTGACATATCAAAACAGAAAACGACATGAGTGGGGCATATGGTTAACCATGCTAAATCGGGTCAACATAAAGCAAAGCCCATTTGACAGCCAGGTGTTGAATGCTCTGGCATCCCTATTCCCATGAGCAGAAAAGCTGACGCTGATTGACATTCTTAATTCACGAGCCCTCGCAGGGGGCAGGCAACGACAGGCTTGCTTTGGCAGACGGCAGGAGTTGGCAGAGCACATGCAGACTGAGGAACTCATTGACCAGACTGCCAGGTGGCGGGATTTACCGGATGGCCAACGCTCAATTTCCTGTAGATCTTTGTGGTATGCTTCCTGTTTCTTCACCTGAGCTTCCAATCTGTGAACGTGGGTCTGAGGAAATATATATTTAAATTACAGAAATGATCAAGACATTTGCAAGCACTCACACTGAAGCACATATATAAACACACAGCTGGAAACTCTCATGCTATAAAGAGCTTCTGACAGCTGCAAGCATGAGATGAATTATTTGAAAGTGAGTATTCATGGCACTGATTGCAGGGTTAATGGATGCCATCTTGGAGGAAATAGCAAATAAAGCCTTCAAATTAATATTCAAAATCTTAAAAGGGTAATAATCTACACATTCATTGCTATTTGTTTCTCCCCACTCTTTATAATTTGCAATTTAGTTTTAAATGATTCTATATGTATAGGACTGTTACCCTTCCAAATTGCTAAAGCAAGCATTGATATGTAAATGTTGGAGGTCATACATTAATGTTCTGATATCACAGCATGTTCTGAATTACCCATTTTGCTGCTTAGTGTCTATAACATGCTGGGTGGACTGAGCAGTGAGCTTTATGTGCATTATGTACATTAGCATATGTAACTATTTCACAACAGCAAATGTTTTCTATGTTATGTTGCATTTAAATTATTGTTTTTGTAGTCTTTGTGAGCTCACCCTTGCTGAGCCACATAGCTCCTGGTAGTCCGCCTGTAGTCTGGTCATGTTGTCTGTGATGGAAGGGGAGTGGAGGAGGGTCAGCAGAGTTTCTCCTTTCTCTAGCACAAAGCTCACAGCAGAATCACGAGATAGCAACGTCTGCTCTACAGCCTGGACACAACAGAACAATGTATACAGATAAAAAGACATGCATGGATTATTCAGCAAGGACACATTAAACTGATCAAAAGTGAACACTTTTGCATTGTTAAAAAGATTTCAAAATCTAATAAATGCTGTTCTTCTAAAATTCTAAACCTAAACTTAACAACTACCTTACTAACTATTAATAAGTAGCAAATTAGGAGTTTATTGAGGCAAAAGTCATAGTTAATGGTTTGTTAATGGCGAAAATTGTGACCGAAATGTCACTTGAGCACCAAATTAGCATATTATAATTATTTCTGAAGGATCATTAAGAATCAAGCAGCTGAAAATTCAAATTTGCCATCACAGGCATAAATTACATTTTAAAGTATATTATTATAATAGTAAACAGTTATTTACATTTTTTATATTTCAAAATATTACTGTTTTCTAAATTTTGCAGCCTTCATGAGCAAAAGTGACTTAATATAAAACTGATTTATATATATATGTATATTACATATATTTTTAAATAATATACATATCTCAATGCTTGCAGAAGATCATTGACAATCCTACTGATTTTAAAAGTGATAAGGGGGACTACCACTTTTGTTGACAGAGCTAGTCACAAGTACAGATTTCATATCAGTTAAAGATTGTAAAACAAATCACCTACCTTGTACTTGTTCAGCTGGGCTTTTCTCTGGTAAAGTTCTGCTTTGGGTTCAACAGTGGAACAGAGAAGGGCTCGAGTCTCCCTAAGCCACTGCATTTGGCTTTTGTAGCGCTCTTGGAAATCTTTATAGAGCACAATGCTTCTTTCCAGGGTTGCATGCTCTTCCCGTAGCCCCAGAATAAGCTCTTTGAGCTGTGATCGGCCTGTTTGCACTTCCCTTTCTAGCTTGGATGCTCCAGGGTCATCCAAAAAGGAAACGGCCTGCTCTGCACTCTCTCGAAGTGTTTTAAGCAGGCTGTGACCTTGATCCATGTCCCCCTGTAGAGACTGCCGGGTGAGAGAGTCTTTTAAACAATGAACAAAAGGGTACAAAAAGAACAACAATAACAAACAAACAAAAATCAATCATTTAACGAGCCACAGGAAAGATATTTATGCCTTCCCCAGTGTGCAACCAAGACAAGTATAGAATTTCCTGTTTCTGACAGCTTCTGATCCCCTCAATTCACGTGGAGCTTCAGGTTTTGAGAGCGCTCCTCTGAAGTGGACTTTTCTGATGGGTACTTTGAAGCCTGCCGGGCTCCTGACACCTGTGTGCGGAGACCCAGTGAGGCCCCGGTTAGAGATATGAGAGGAAGACCCAATTACCCAGGACTTAAATGGGGCTGACGCAGCGGGGTTTCCCCAGCAACGACCGCACTCGGCCCCTCCTACTCCTTTACCTTTAAGCGGGAAGCTTCTCTATATGATATCAGCCTCTTGTCTCTACAAAGAGCAGTACAGCTGGATCTGGAGCTACTGCTGCGGTACTGACAGAGAAAGCAGCCCCAGTGTTTTAATGACCATCTCCACACACAAATAAGCAAATGAGAAGTTAGTGATGCGAAGAGGTGTAGGATCCAAGGATAATTGGGTAAAGAAATATTATCTGGCGATAGAAATGTACACTTAATTGGCTGTTTATTATTCACAAATACATGCATCTATACCGTTGACATTACCGTTTAATGGAGTGGGTGTACATAAAACACAGATAGCCTCTATATGACTTTGCTATTAGCATCTGTGTGGCGCTATTGATCTTGACGAGGATTATATGCACCAAATAAGTAGTATATGCATATGTGTGTAAAGGAAGAGAGTGTTGTTGAAGAATGTGATGTTGAAGCTGCAAGGGCATTGCATCAATAACACAGTCTCTGCCAGCAGGTTCCACAGACAGACCGTTCCTTCATCTCTGCTATCACAGTGGGGGAGTGTGTGAAGTGGCTGTGTGCGCGTGTGCACGTATGGTGCGATCGCACTAAAGCTTTCTTTTGCTTTGTGTAGTAGACATATTGATCATATCCTTAAGAAGACAAAGAGACTCGTACATGTGCACACACAGAGACACACTGGCTCTTACGATCTCAAATATGAACGCAAAACTGTGCCAGGCCCACTGAGAGTCCTAGTCTGTGGTGTGTGTGTGTAATTTTATCAGGCCAAATCAATAGCTGTTAAACCATAGGATAAAAAGGGGTGACAGTTTCATCTGTTCATCTGATCCTTCAACTCTAAAAGGAAAAAATAAAACCCTGTAGAAGCGTTTATTTGAAAAATGTAAATGTTTTGTTCTTTTAATCTTAATTATTTTCATGATTTCATAGATATATATATATATTAGTGCTGTCAAACGTCCAAAATATAAGTTTTTGTTTGCATTATGTGTGTTCTGTGTATATTTATTATGTATATATAAATACACACATACAGTATATATTTTGAAAATATTTACATGTATTTACATGTCTATATTTATATTCATATAATTTATATTATAAATAAATATATTTAATATATAAACATTTTTCTGAAATATATACATGCATGTGTGTGTATTTATATATAGTTAATAAATATACACTAGGGATGTAACAATTAACTGCGAGCCGGTTGAAAATCGATTCAAATATGTGACGATTCAAATCGGTTGAGATG